AATACCTGAATCAGAATCAGAAAACGTTGCAAGACTATAGCCTAGTAAAAACTGAATACGAATCAGACAGAAAAATATTGTGAGCAAAAGTGTACAAAAGATGCCTATAAGCTTGGTTATTCAAATAACACTGGTTTATTTTTTCAACTTAAGACGTTGGATGAACAAACAACCAAGACATGTATGACCTTTGATGTCAATCGGCAAAAGTCGTATTAAACAAACCAATACTTTATGTTTTCGTGATATCTCCAAAATAAAAGGTGAGTCTTTGAAGAATATCTAGGAGGGGGCCTGTGTTTTGAAAAGGTTTTTTAAAAAGGAGATATTTTTTAATAACTGAAAATAAAACGAGGCTGAATCAACACGAAAGAAAATGAAATTAAGTTACATTCTCATCAATATTTTTATTTCAGTACGGGTAACATAAATCAGCCTTGTGAATAAAAAAATGTACACAAAACAACCGAGAGCTACACAAATCAGGCTCTTCAATAAATTATACAAATAACCCTTGCATTGCAAAGTAAGGTCATGGAGATTTGATGGCAGTGGACAAAGCCTCGTGCGTAAAACTGGACGGTACGTAATAACTCCAAATTTAACAAGTTGCCTGGTATGCTTGTCAACATCTGTCAACAGTGCAAAACGTATTGACAGTTTCTCTGTGCATGTACTTACACCGTTGATGGTGTGTAGGAAGTAAGTAAGTCTGGTGTAGTCATTTTTTTATCTAAAAGATCTCGAAAAGTTCCATGGATGCATCCAGAACCATTTGGGGGGGGGCACACTTTCTTTTCTTTCTGGGGGGGAGGCTACATCTTGGGGCTTTCTGCGTGCTGTTTTTTGAAGGACAGGAAGTAAATTTGACCCCCCAAATTAGTCTTTCATTATTCATTCCCCCCCAATTTTTCTTGGGGGGGGGCTCCTTCTTTAGGAAGGGGGCCATGGTCCCTACTGCCCCCCCCCGTCTGCCCTCCAAATGCACTGGTATACATGTAAAACAAAGTTGACGTGGCAATACAGATTAAAAAAGGTGAAACAAAGAAAATCAGAAGAAAGCAGAGGAACTCGTAGGTAACTGCTGGTTGGCACAAAAATACTGCAACTGGCACAGTAACGAAAATACAGATAAAATGAGGGCGACATTCAAAGGCAAATGCTTTTGACTGTTGTGCCCATGATGTTCACACACTAATGTTTAAACCTAGTGTGAACCTTTCTTCCTTTTAGCATTATCAAGACAACTCAGTGAAAATACTAACGTTTATTTTGCACTGTGAACACTGTTTTGTGCTAGAGTGCTGATTGCGGTTTTTCTGTTCCTCACTTTGCTATAGATGACCCTCACTTCCAAACAGTCTTGAAAAAACTGTTTTTGTGAGTGAGGGAAACCTTGCGAGGACCTGGTTTATTCCACACAAGTAAGGTCCACAAAATCTTGCATCACGTCCACACAAGGTGGTGTAAAACAGTCTCACACAAGAACAGCCGATATTTATGTTTGCTTTTACACACAAAGCCCGTATATTAAATACTTTTTTAGGTTGATAAGAACCACCTGTGCTTAATGTGGAAATAAGTCCTCAGGTCACTCAATCTATGATTTATTCTATTTATATCTGTTCATCCAACAGCGCATTTAGCGCAAATTACACGGAGATAATGAGTGAAGAAGACAATGAAGATATGTTTAGTTTTAGAGGTGGGAGGAAAACCCCGCATAAATAGTTCAGGGAAAATTGACAGACTCAGGTAGGGACTGAAAACCCAATCCACATGTGGACTGAGCCAGATTCGAACCTAGGCCCCCAGAGATGGAAGGGGAAGAAAGAAACACTTCGCCAACCTGACTCCCCTGTAATCCAAGCATTTCTATAATTTGTTACAATGCAGACACACATATTTCTGAGTGAAAAAACCATAAAAAAGGATCTGCTACCACAACAGATCTACAAATAATTGCTACCTTTTCCAAAATATCCTACTTCTGTGCAAAACCATCCAACTTTGCAAGCTACACCTCAGTTTAACGATGCAGGTAGAGCACAAATTTGTCATTCTCAGATCAACAAACTTGGAAAATTGTTTTCATAAAGATTATCGTCACATTCAGCTCAAGAATGTGTACTGCAGAACTAAGGGAAGTCTCTGCTACCTGAGGTTACAAAAAAAAGACTATTAAATTGAACATGATATACTTGTTTTTGACGAAAATTGTGTGAACTTCTTGAAATCAAATCATCCAACAGTCTGAACAGTTTGATGAGCGACACTATTTCAATCAAAGTGGTATAAACGATTGACTGCATCCAATACGACTTGTTACATTTTACATTAATATGAGATAATGTCATTTTTATTTATTTTGGTTTACTGTTATTTGGTACTAGATGTCTGCTGTAGTGGGTGCGTGGCTCACAATTCAAGGCGCAAAAGCTTACAAAAACGTGAATTTCACACAATGAAACTTCGGCGAATTTCACTGTATATTTCATGACATCAAATTCTCTTTGCTGTCGTGTTCACCTGAATTATGGACCAGCTGTTGCACCGAATGGCCAAGAATTGCCAACCCCAAATATCCAATGCCCAATATCACGGCTCCACTAAGTGTGTAATCCTTTCGAGTTAAATGCAGCTAAAAGTGTTCACAGGTGGAAGCAACAGGTTACACAACATCTGCTGGTGATCGGGCCACAAATCCTTACGTGCCTGCGAAACAAATGCAACCTTGCCACCACTGAGACAGATTCAGTTCAATTCAGCAAACATCTTTTTTTTAATAAAGTAAGCAGAGCCATGAGACAGGGTACCAGGGCAGTGTAATGAAGGCAGCAGACTACTTGTGGTAGGTTGGAGTACTATACAAGAGATGCAACGTGCCATGTTCACGCTCTTTATAACTTTCCGGTCCCCGCCTTTGGCTGTATGAAGGAGAGGTGCTTGGGAACCATGCAGTCAGGCGCAAGAGCTGGGTTGCGTGCCAGTCCCAGGGCGATGCCTATGCGCATGGCCAATGAGGGCGCCCTCACTTTATCGGATGGTGTTGGCATAACCTGTCAAATATTTTTTTTTTTTAAATGAAACCTTAGTGGATAAGAAACCTCAGACCGGGCTTAGACAATAATTAAAGTTTTATTTGGATGGACTCAAGGATAATGGATTAATCAATAGATGTCTAAGATAGTACCTTATCCATTTTGTGCCGGTGAATGAGGCCATCGGAACCCAGTTCAAAGGTGGAGAAGGCATCAAAGTACCTGTAAATACACAGAGCCTGGATCAACTTATTGACTAAACTTTAGAGGGACCTTGTGCGGCGAGAAGATGACGGCGTTTCCATTTCTTCATAACAAGGGCTCACCTATCTGGGAGTTTGCGCCTCCAGGGTGGGATGACATAGCTATGAAGTGACACTCTATGGGTGGGGCTAGGAAGGGGCAGTGGTTTAGGGCTCACTTACAAGGGTGTTCATGCCTCCAGGGGTGGATGACGTAGCTATGAAGTGACACTCTATGGGTGGGGCTAGAAAGGGGGAGTGGCGTAAGGGCTCACCTATCAGGGTGTTTGCGCCTCCAGGGGCGAATGACGTAACTATGCAGTGGCACTCCCCGGACCCTCCACCTGGCCTGAATTTGCCCAAGTTCCAGCTCGGCTGTGATGCGCAGCACCTCCATGGTAGAGCCTGTCACGTAGGCTGCACACAGGTACTTCAGGCCCTGTATGCTGGCCTTGTAGGCCGGGAGCCCTCTGTAATTCAGACAGAAATTGAGAGGGTGTTTCTAAATTTCAAACTCCGTCCATATCTTGCTCTGCCTGATATTCATCCTCCCCTCCCACCTTGTTAGAGTGTTTAGCTTAACCACTTGCTGCCGGGTGTACTTTGAAATTACGTGACGTAAACCAGGGAATTTTCAAGATTTTCCATTTTCAAAATTCTTCAAAAATCATCACTTCATTTATACATGTATGTACTGGATGTTTACACCCACATGAACGACTGTCTTGTGGCTACTCTAATCTGACACATAACATCTATTGATGCCTGAGTATTTAAGCCAGGCCTGCTGACTTGTAAAAAGAGCTCAGATTGTGCAGTGTTGTGCAAGTTTCTTTTGTTCCAGAAACCGGCACTGCTGGCGTCTTTTCAATAGGGGCCAGATTAATATGCAGCGGTATTGTATCGCTCATCAATGGAGTGCTGGAGCGCTTTTGTCCCCGGTGGTAATCCGCTCGCGCTGATTGCCACAAACAGTGGTACAATCTTTCAAAACAATGACGGATTTCTGCCGCTATTGACAACTGAAGAAATGTTGGCAATTCCCAGCAGCTCAGTTTTTTGTTCAGAGTACGATCTTTTGTTACAAGGTCTAGTTCTTTTGTCCGATTTCGGGCTCCCTGGTTTCATATATAAAAGGTATGTCCCCGAAACCGGGCTCCCCGGCAGGAAGTGGTTAGTACTAAATAAGTCACACTTTGCTGCAGGAGCGTCAGACTGGTACTTTCTCAATGTCCAACTCTCAGTCTGACAAGTGGTAGACAAATTAACATGACAGATGGCGCAGTACTAAAAATAAGACTGGGAAACCACACAAAATTGTTCAACACAATCTTGGGATCTCAGGCTGAAAGGTACTTGGCATACATCCTTGTATTTGGCAAAGGACTTCTGGAGAAAATCAGATTGACTGAACATTCTACTTCAAACATTCGGGTATACAAATTAAACCTTTTTGCAAGGAGACTTGGAGTGTTCAGTTGCAGTGCTTTTGAGACTTACTTGCATACATGCACATGTGTCTAACCACATGTATTCCAATAAAAAAGGTAAGTGACGACTAAATGAAGCAAACTTACTTGGTTTTAAACCTCATGATCCGGTTATCAAACTCCACCGTGCTGGCGTACATGCTGAAGTCGTGGGATTCGTTGAGGAAATTGGGCAGCTGAAAGAGGAATTATCCAATATTACCATGAATTATTAATTAGAAGCTGTAATACTCCAGCAATTTTTTGCACACAGATCAATGAAATATTGAGGGTTTCTCCCTTGAATGACATCACAGTTTTGCTCAGGAATGCAAAAAGTTACCTTATTGTAAACACCCACAAGACACCCGAATACCTTTCAAAATTGCACAAAAAGGAATTGAATAAAAAGGTTAGTTGAACAAAAAAAAAGAGTGCATTTTCAAAATTTGCCATCATGGCTGAGAAAAAAAATGGCATCGCATGATCCTTTTCAGAATGGAATTTACTGCAATCTGGATGCATAGGAGTCTCACCTCCTGCTCCAGCCTTTCGTACATGACCAATATCTGCTCTTTGCTTGGCTTCGGAGCACCGTTGTCGTCCTGCGGAGACACAGTGCTGCTGTCCGGCTTGGTCAAACCGCTGCCCGGTTTGGCAGGGGGAGGCTGGAGGTCGCCCGTGGAGGACTGAAGATGATTTGGCTCAGGTACAGCTGCGACCATTGGGACGTGATAAACTTTACTAGGAACAAAATACATGTACAAAGATGTGCATTAACTGAAGTGCTTGGAACAAAGTGAAAAGCAATTTGACTCCAACTGAATGAGCCATCCTAATTGTCTGCCAACATTCAACACTCTAGACTCAGGAACTTGGGGCATAAGGCCCTGTAAAGAATAGCCTTCAAATTTTTGTATGAAATGGCAATGTTTGGACGGTTCTACCACTTTCTGAAATAAAACTGGTACTTCAACTAGGACAGACCTGTCAACCTGTCGTACTCCTTCCTGAGGTCAGGCATGACCACACAATAGATTAAAAGGTGTTTAAATGAGCCTTCAGTTCATTCAAAATCTATTGTGTGGTAATGCCTGACCTCAGGAAGGAATATGGCTTGTTGGCAGGTCTGCTAGGTGTAATTGATTTATGGTCAGCCATTCTGTTGATGGCCAGGGTTCATTTCTTAAATTGAGCCACCAGGGTGGTGCTCAAGTGGGAAGGACATCACTGTGGGCCCATCATGCCAGCCCACAAGTTTGAATGGGTCTATACTGAACTGACAAAGTGACCCAATCACTGAGTCAATCACGATCTAGCTTGACAATTATCTGCATTTACGTTTGCATCAATCATGATTTAGCATTATGTTTATGATAATGTCTGCATGTGGGGCTGTGGGACAATGCTCTCGGCATCTCCTTATGTCAATATCGAATCTACATTGTACACTGTAGGAATATTTCAGCTAGAAAATGCTAGATACAACAATTTGCATCAACTCGATCAAACAGAAGAAGCATTCGATGGCCAAATGGCCTGGGAGTCTGAGGTTGCCAAGCCACCAGAGAATCCAACATGCAATGCTCAATGGGGCCAGCTCCAATTGTCTCAACAGGAGCAGTTTATTCACTGCCATTGCTTGCTCAGTGCAGCAAAGTACAGTGTCATTTATAGTTCTACATCTAACATTTGGTGTATCTGGTAGTGCTTAAGAGTCTTAAAACATTTTCAAATTGGAATCTTCTCCCAATCTGAAAATCCAATCACTCTGCAAGATACCAATGGCAGGCTCTTTATGCCCAACCTTTCAGGAGGTTCCACGCTAAGTAGAAGCAGGACAATCCTTGTCAATATCTTGCAAATTCCTTGAAACATGAAGATAGGCTTTGAACGATCTTAGAGAATGAGAATTATATGTACGTGATTTGATAGGGTCATGTGGTAAGATGGTACAATATTACTCATGGGTCTTCAGCACACACTTTTGCTGTGTATAGAAACTTACTTGAAATACAGATGTGTCCTGTGAATGCCTTCTGCATGTCGTAGTACACCGACATCTAATGCCGGCAGCTTTTCAGTAGACTTGAGGGATTGAGCAGCCTCTAGCTGACTGGGCAACTGGTTTTGACAGCTGGAGTCCTGACGCCCAGTTCCCCAATTGTTCAGAATGTGGTTTGCACCGTGTTGTTCATTTGGTGGGTTGTTGCGAATGATGATATCATCGCTGCTGGTTACATCCCACGGCTTGGCTGCTGTCTCCATGATGCTCTGGACATGCATAGTGGCCGACAACCTGCGCAGGGTGGCGGTAATGTCCTTCAGTCCGTCCTGGACGTGAAGCGAGGACGTCAGCAGGGAAAGGACATGATTTACGGTGCTCCTCTCCACCGAAAATAACACTGGAGGCTCACGGTCACTGGAGTCTTTGATGCCGAGCTCGTCCGCTGTTGCGCCTTCCCCTTGATGGGGTGAGAGCTTGGGTGGGTGTAGCCCTTCAGAGCAAGAAGGGGTGGAGTCTTTCAAGCACATGAGGGACGTCTCCCGCCGGTCCCAGTGCAGAGAGCTGGATCTACCCCCACCGGAGGCTGACCGGGCAAAGGGATAAGCAAGGCTCTCTGGACAAGTTCCTGCTTTACTGCTGTTCCCTGTTGGCCTGAGTCTGGAGAAAAAGATGTGCTGCAGGGAGACATCACGCCCTGTTGTGATCGAGAGGGCTGGGTTGATGAGAGGGTTACAGGCTGATGTGCCCAGCCATGATGAGCGAGTTGCCTTTCTGGATAACTGCTTACCGGCATGGGGATGGCCAAGCTCCTTTGAACATTTCAAATGGATCAGTTTCCAGAAGAAAAAGTCAACATACAGACAGTCTCAAGCAAAGCAGTACAGCTAGGCCTTACACCTACATGTACTCTTAAAACTAATGCTGAACATGTACATGTACCTCACTTGACATCCCCTACACAAACTCTACAGTGTGAAAAATTTTATGCTTCAGGAAAAATTCCATTTTCATTGCCCATGCCACTTTCCCTGGGGTAGGCCTAGGTTGTGTTTTCTTCCATTCCAATGGCAAATCACAGCTCAGCTTTCATTTAGATGGGGTCCGGAAAGCAAAAGAGATAGGAGCTGTGTTGTGATTGGTCAAGCTATCACACAGCTGACAGTTACTGAGAGTACATGTTGCTGAGTTTCTGTAGTGTGGATGGGCAAAATACTCATGAATTTCACCATTTTAATGAGGATATATCTTGTAAGGTGAATAAACTTCACCAAGAAGGCATGTATGAAATTTAGATGCACAAATTGCTGTGATGGAAGAGTAAGTTGGCACAATCAAACAGCCAAAATGTTTTTATGGTAGTTTGTAACTGGCTATCTGGGAGGTTTGTATCTGGAACTTGAGTAGAAGTACCCAGGCTACATTATACTGCTAGGCCTTCCTGCACATCACTTGAATATGTTGAGTTAGACACGTTAGACGTTAGTTGGACATTATCTTGAAAACGTTGGCTTTGTTTCCTTACATTTATAGGGACAGGGTGCTAAAAGTAAGGAATACCACACAATGTACCAGTTTGCTATGTGGGCAGTGGTAGATTGGCTTCAAATGCGCCTACAACTGTACAAGACAAGTAAAAGTAGACATCATTAGTTACTGCCTTTTGGGGCCTGGCATGTTTACCACTAGGCCCTAGGCCTACTTTAGTAATTACGCTTACCGAGGTGCAAAATCGTCTAACAAACGCCATGGCTGCCACAAACTGGCAGTGCCTTGCTGAACAAAACCAGAAGAACATATTCCAGGCTTTTCAGATCGAATAATTGGAGTTACATTTCAATCTCGTTTCTTCATCCTGTAGATTTAACAAGCTTTTACCACGAAAGTTTACGCTAGCCGTTCCACGAACTCCTATCTTACAAGTTATAGAGCGCCCTCAGGAGGCTTTCTGGAATAAAAAAAAAAACAATCGAACGTGAAATAGACTAGCCTTTGATCAAGGCGCCCGGAGTGAAATGGATAGTCAAGACCAAAGATTGTATCATAGCGCCGCTATACAATCTTTGGTCAAGACCACACAACGAACTGCACGCAACTAAGCCCGAAATTAACCATGCATGCGCACCCAGCAGCCGAGCTTTGTGTGTCGTGGCCTGAAATGTGGATTGCCGAGCTTTCGGTAACCGAGTATGCGGGGATCATACATGCATTACTAGTAATGTGGTTTATTGCATTACATGTCTTCACTGTGGTAAACTGTACATCAGAGAGACCAAGCGTCGCCTTGATGACCGCTTCGCGGAACATTTGCGCAGTGTGCGCCAACAAACACCTAGTCTCACTGTTGCGCAGCACTTTTGACGTAAGCGTCTGCATTCTGCGGAAAGCGTCATCTGATGTACAGTGTAAGGAACTGGAGCAGCACGTCATTTTCGAACTTGGAACGGTGCATCCAGGGGGAAGGAACGTGGATTTTTCCGCGTTCATTCATAACTGAATCAGCTTGCCCTGAAGAAGGTATTCAGTTACCGAAAGCTCGGCAATCACATATTTCACAACACTGATTTAATTATATATTTTTGTCGATATTCTGATCACGTTGCTACGCAGCCCTTCCATATTCTGTGTGTGTTGTGGACTGTGCGCGGCGCAGCACCAAAGGCGTGCGCGGGGCGTGCGTGCGGTTCGTTATGTAGTCTTTCTTCGTGCGTTGGTTTGGTGCTTAAACTAGTCTCCACCAGCTCCTCGCTATTCTTGAGCGACTATCCATTTCGCCGCGGGCGCCTTGATCAAAGGCTAGAAATAGACTGATAACATGCCCTAAGCACGTCAATTTGTACTGATCGTTTTCAGGATTGCTTGTACGTGCTCGATCGGATGTACGCGTTTTTATACTCTCTGTTTTGTACATGTACTTTCGTATGGGGAAATGGTTCTTGGGAGGACACTAGTCTCCATGCCTTCGTGAGCGCTTCCCCTGTTGAAATGTCGTACTTTATACTTCCTTAAAGATACTACTGAGCCAAGATTATAGCCTTTATTCAAGTCAGGTTTGCCCGGCCCAGCTAATAAAAAACAAACAACCCAACACCCCACCCAACAAACAAACAAACAAACAAA